GAAATGAATGCATGGCTGTTAGCAAAATGAACAGCCCAATATACAAATTACAAATTGGAGATACCAAAATCAGTAAAACAATTTGAATATCTGGGAAGTATTTTAACAGAGGATGAAAAGTGTGACACTGAAATTCGAAGACGTATTGGGATAGCGAAAGATGCCTTCCAATAGATAAGCAAATTATTAAGAAACAGGAAAATTTCGTTACAAACAAAAAGTGTACTGAACTGTGATGTTATATCAGTCCTCCTAGTGGCGGCTATACAATCTTCTCACGGAGGAATAAACTTGAAGCAACAGAAATATGATTCTACAGAAGGATACTGAGAACAGCATGGACCGAACATGTAAACAATGACGAAGTTTTAGAGAAAATGGAAACAGAAAGGTCACCTATAGTTAACATCAGGAAGAGACAGTTAAAATTTCTCGGACAGATAAGGAGGAAAGAAGGCTGGAAGAATTTGGTACTTACCCAGCGAGTTTGAGTAAATAAATGGCGAAGCAAGTTTTAGGAGATAAAAAGACAATTTATTAAGCGATACAAAGGACAGGAAATTGTGGAGAGCCATCATCTGAGGCTGTCAACATGTGTTAGAATGTTGTCTTTTCTTAGGTGGTGCTGTCCTAACCTCCGATTTTAATATCACTAACGCATGGTCATCAGTAAAAGGGTGAGCCCGAAATGCGATTTGCTGGTCAGTGGCATTAAATTCAAGCAGGTGCGGAAGTTTGAGTATCTGAGAAGTGTTTTGACAGAGGACGACAAGTGCGAAACTGAGATCCGTAGACGTATTCGGGTGGCCAAGGATGCATTCCAAAAGCTGGTTAGAGTATTGCGTGATAGGAGGATCTCTTTGGTAACACGGAAAAGATTACTGAGCTGTTACGTGATATCTGTCCTCCTTTACGTCAGTGAACGTTGGACAGTCTCCTCAAAGAGGACTTAACATCAGGAAGAGGCAGTTGAAGTTTCTGGAACAAGTAATGAGAAGGGAGGGCCTGAAGAACCTGATACTCACAGGTCGAATTGAGAGACAAGGGAAAGCAACGCATGACATACCTGGTGGACTTAAGCAAATGGATGACTGAACGTGGTCTAGGGGGTATTGTGGCAGAGGGACGAAACTTATTGAGAGCTACAAGGGATAGGGAGAAGTGGAGAGCCATGATCGCCTACGTCCTGAAAGGACGTGGCACATAAAAAAGAATCCTTCTATGATATTCTTTAGGTTTTTTTTTTCTCTTCTGTTATGAAAGAGCTTTCCCATCGTTTTACTGCTGTAGCAGCTATTCTTTTTTCATTATTAGTTTCCTCTTTAGATGTTATAAATCCGTTTTGCTGCAGTTTTAAATAAATCCTGCCTGTGATATCATAGTTTACATAAACAACTAGTAAATCCTACTTCAAGAAGGAAACAATTGAAAATGACGCCAGTAAGGAAAGATCAACGAAAGAGATCGAATAATAATGGTAATATTAACCATTTCCCTACAAGGAAACATTTGGCATTCATTGACCGGGCAGCCAGTACTCCTTTCGGTTGAAGTTTATAAAATCTTTCTCCGAAAACAACTTTTCGGAAAATAGGTTTCTCAAGTCTAGTAGATGTTATCGCTCTTTCCAGTATGGATCAGAAGGAAGTTCCTTTGTCGGAATTAGTTCCTCCTTAATTCCCAAACCGTCCACTAGGGGACGCTCTCCCTACACTATAAATACTGCGCAATTTATTGCCTCTTTCTCTTTTCTACTTTGCATTTCAGTGGACACATTTTAAAATGTAATCTCTCTTAGAGATCCGCGTTTTCGCCCACTTGTTGGAAAACGCCATGAAAAACACATACACGTACGTACGAACATTCACCAATATACAAACTCTTTACGTTCATGCCCAAACAGAAATGTTAATGTCATTGTCATTTGTAAATTTGTTGTTTAATACATATATTTTTTGACATATATATATATCGGTCTTGTTTGTTTTCTTTAAATATTCGGTTGGACTCAACTTGAGTCCGCCATGTTCTTGTAGTTGGACCTTCTTCTAGCAGGAAAAAACAGCACGTGTTCCTAATTGAATCAATACGCAACCAACCAATACACGTTTCTAATCTGTTTGAAGTAGTATATATTTATTTTCTATTCGAATTACATATGATATCCACATAAATATTTACCCTGAATTTTCTTATATCCTTGAAGCAAAGTAATTTTTTTATATAAAAAAATACCAATACATTTTATAGCAAAATGACCAACTCCTATATTTTATTTGTAGTCAAAAGTATACAATTACGTTCAAAATATATTTAGCTGAAGCCATAAAATTGTGTTCACATTATTTAGACCTTGTAATTAAATAGCCCATAAAGGTGTTGATATGCCGCTAAACAAAACCACTCAACCAACATGAAAGAACTCTTTCATGACATTAATCCATATAATATCCGACAATTTCTTAAATCAAACTGTACTCCAAAATATAACTTCAACAAAACTACAACATCAAATACACATACACTGCCGCTTGTAATTATGTCCAAGCAAACATGTATATGCACAAAAGTTGAGTATCATTTACCATGTATTCAATTGTGAAATCAGAATAATATTGATCATATTTTTATTACTTCTAAGCTACCAAGAAATTCAAATTTCGGTAGTAAATGACTCATAAGGAGTTGATATGCCGTTAAACAAATGAATTGATTGACCGAGTAGGCAGTACTAATTTCGGTTTCCTCGAAGAAAAACAACATAATCAAGATATTTACATTCCACTTCAAATAAAAGGTTAGGAAGTAAACTTTCATCAATACTAGAAAGAGCAATAACGTTTACTGGGCTTGATAGGTCTATTTTCATAATGAACCTTTTTTTTAAGTTTAAAAAAATATTATAAATTTCAACCGGCGACAGCACTGGCTGCTCAATCAATAAATACCGATTTTTTTTCCTTGTAAGGAAACTGATATTATTATTATTATTATTATTATTTGGACATGTTTCGTTTTTCCTTCACTTCATTTAATCTCCCAGTGACCTATTTACAGAGCCTGCTAAAGAAGCGACGACACATAATCTGAAGATCGCTTCAGACGGGAAACTGACAGTCAACATGCAGTGTGGATTTCCATGTCCCGACTGTTAATATATACGTAATTACTCCTTCGCTTTGTGTGTGAATATGTATCTTTTTTTTTTCTTTTTTCTTTTTTTAATCCGTATCAATCCATGCAAAGTAGTAAAGCCACTAAGACTCAGGGTGTGGAAGAATTAGGAACAGAAACATTAATAATAAACGGGAAGGGGAAAGAGTAATCAAAACAGTACATAGCGATTAACATTGCATTTAAATTTTTGTAGATTAAAGTTGGTTGGAAATCATGGAGGTGAAAGGGAGCTCCACAAGCGAGAAGTGCGAGAAAAGAAACTATTAGCATAGAACTTACGGCTACATCAAGCCAGCTCAGCTGTAAATTGATGCGATCTTGCCACTAGTCTAGTACTGAGCTTAGGTTCAAAAAGTCTCCGTACCATAGCGAAGAGCTCATCCGAACAATTACCATGAAAGGATTTATAGAAAAGGCACAGAGGCATCCTTGCGGTTGTGGGAAAGTGACTGAAGCTGAGATGCCAGATCAGGACCAATAATATTGCTGATTCTTCTTTAGATTTTATCAGGGAGCTCAAGGTAAATAGCAGGGGCACCGGACCATATGTGGCAGCAATTGTCTAAGCATGGACGAATAGTAGACATAGATATGAAAGATAGATTCTGGGGAGAAAAAAATGTCTCGCACGATACAGTGAACCAACTTAGCAGCTGATCTAGAAATGGATTCAATAGTCTTTCCACTTCATGTCAGCTGAGAACGTTAGCCTGAAATGGGGAACGAGTCACTTTCCTGGAGGTTAGCATCAGCCATGCTGATTGAAGACAAAGGAGTCTCTTGGATGATTAATGAAGAGAAATTTAGTTGGCGGGGGGGCGTTAAAATTTTATCAGAATTATCCAATTTTCTTAGTCTGCCTTATGCCACATTAAGCTAAACTAAACTAGTTTGCCTTATGCCACATTAAGCTAAATTAGTTTGCCTTATGCCACACTTAAGCTAAACTTTGTAAATGTTATAACTTACCAGTGACGAAAAAGTGTAGTCAAACGGTAAATATAACAAGGATGACTGGCTTTTCGAAAAACAAAATAACTATTTACTCTTCTTAATTTAATGTTATTTAGCAACGACAAAATGAACAACGACATTGAACCAAAAAGAATAGATGTCAACGTCAAACTAGCATAAATTTTGGCTTTTTTTTTTTTTTTTTTGTATTTCAATGTAGTGTTTCATTAAAACGTGAAGGTGTAAATTCCTACTGTTAATAACAATGTCCATATAAACATTACATATCTCTAGTCACGACGGAGTCATTTACGCTTGGCCAAATTGGCCTGTACATACATGAAATACATCACTAAAGTATACTCTTTCTTTTTATGGAACAACTAAAGAAAATGTGTTTTTCTTTTCTTTTCGAACAAAACAAAATAAAGACAATAGAATTGTCTGCTTTATAGTTGCCTTTTCATTTTTACTACGTTCTATATCCTCTTGTCTAGACATGTCACATTTTACAATTTTTTTCATTTTCAGTATTTAACCATTTATTACCAGATTCATTCTGTATTTGGAACTTTTTTTTTTTTTCTTTTTGCCTTTTATCACCTTCTTGCGTCTTTCTTTTTCAGTCCTTCCTTTTTTTTTCTTTTTACTTTTATCTTTCTATTCCTTGGGACGCTTCATTGTGGAGTATGGATTAGCAAACTGATCTTGAAAATCATTGTTTCTCGCTAAGAGTTTTAACATTATTTTGTGCGCCTATAGTAATGACCTTCTGACAGTTACGGAGTTTGTAAATAACTCATTCTTTTCATATTCTTTTTCAATCTATTTTTTATTTCACTTTTTTTTCCTATTTTTATAAATATTAAATGTTTATTCTTATTACTTTGTTTCCTTCTTCTTTCCTTTATTCTTTTTATTTTTCTTTATTTTACTTTTTACTCTGGTTTTGACAACTTTTGTTTCATTTTATAAATTAAATGATCTCCTTCATATTTAGCGATTTCTTTCCATCTTTGTTTCATTTTCTTTTGTTTTCTTTTTTTTTCTTCCGCCTCATTACTTCCAAATTCTTTCTTTTAGCCATTTTGCTTATTTTTTCTTTTTCTTTCGCTTCTTTGCTTTTTTTTTCTCTTTCGCTTCTTTGCTTACTTTTTTCTCTTTCGCTTCTTTGCTTTTTTTTCTCTTTCGCTTCTTTGCTTTTTTCTCTTTCGCTTCTTTGCTTTTTTTTCTCTTTCGCTTCTTTGCTTACTTTTTTCTCTTTCGCCTCTTTGCTTACTTTTTTCTCTTTCGCCTCTTTGCTTACTTTTTTCTCTTTCGCCTCTTTGCTTTTTTTTCTCTTTCGCCTCTTTGCTTACTTTTTTCTCTTTCGCCTCTTTGCTTTTTTCTTTTTCTCTTTCGCCTCTTTGCTTTTTTCTTTTTCTCTTTCGCCTCTTTGCTTTTTTCTTTTTCTCTTTCGCCTCTTTGCTTTTTTCTTTTTCTCTTTCGCCTCTTTGCTTTTTTCTTTTTCTCTTTCGCCTCTTTGCTTTTTTTTCTTTTTCTTTTCGCCTCTTTGCTTTTTTTTTCTCTTTCGCCTCTTTGCTTTTTTTTTTTTCTCTTTCGCCTCTTTGCTTTTTCTTTTTCTCTTTCGCCTCTTTGCTTTTTTTTCTTTCTCTTTCGCCTCTTTGCTTTTTTTTTCTTCTCTTTCGCCTCTTTGCTTTTTTCTTTTTCTCTTTCGCCTCTTTGCACTTTTAGGCACTCACAGAATCAGTAATGATTCTGTGAATGCCCAAAAAGGCAGACATTTTGTAAAATAATTATTGACGGAAAGTTGAAAATAGCAGCACAGTATTTTTCTTTTTGGCTCGAAAACATTTTAGCATTTTTGGCTTAAAAAATAGAAATTCTGACTTCTTAAAAATGGAATTAGAATATGCATTATTTTTTGACCAGTCCCAATGCCGACCAATATCTTAATATTAAGGCATTGTCCCTCCTAGATCTTATATACCAGTAAAATACTGAATATAGATTATCCCTGCTACATATTTTTTTTCTTCATCTGTTAGTGGTACGGAAATTAGGATTAGTGTGCATTTGCTTTCGCCCTTGTACTGATTTGAACCCATTTCTTCTCTCATATTCAGGTATTAGTTAAATAGCAGGATAAACTGGTCTCTCTAGATTTGATTGGTAACCAGTCTAGGAGAAGGACAGCGCTAAATTCAAAGCTGCTTGGGTGCGGGGCTAGCAACTCCGCATCATGAAAAGACACATACTCCCTGTACTCAACAAGCAGTGTCTAACGAGTGAATGTTTTCCTTTTTTTAATGGCACAATATAAATGGGATAACTCTTTTCGAAGCATTTCTTGTGTGCCTCCTAACCAAAAGATGAAATGAAATTCTATATAGTCCAATCTGGAACAAATGGTATTCGTTGGTTTTTTTTGATTTTTTTTTTGTATGTTTATTTGTTTTTAGTTTTTTTAACTAACTTTATTTTTGTTTCAATGTTACTCGATAGTTCAAAATCATTCACATGGTCTTGTGGACACTGCAGCTTCTTTCCCACAAATGCAACATCACAAACCTATCACTATTTCTATGACAAATGTTCCAATGAGCTTCATTCTTCCATTTTACCAATTCAGACCTTTATATTTAAGATATGCCATGTTAATTCCATGGTGTCAAATCGTTCTCTTTTTTTTTATCGTTTCACCGCAAGCAAGAGAAATACTGACACAAGGAGTTACTAAGAGTGAAAGAATTTGAGAAAATAAAAACATTATTAAGGAGGAAGAACGATAAAAGAACAGAACAGGAATTAGGAAGACAGAAAATAACGATTGACATTGCATTTAGATTTTTGAAGATCAAGTTGACTGGAAAGCAAGAAGCCGAAAGTGAATTCCACAATTGAGAAATGTGAGAAAAGCAATTGTTAGTAGGTAACCTATAGTTACATCTAGCAATTTAAACTGTAAAATGATGAGACCTAGCTGCCAATCTAGTGCTACACTTAAATTCGGAAGGCTGAGGTGACAAAGAGGAAAGCTCACCAGAACAATTATGATTGAAGTATCCATAGAAAAGGCACAGGGAAGCTACATTACGGCAGAAAATCAAAACCGAGATGCCATGTCAGGATGGATAAAATTTCAGATTCTTCTTTTTGGATTTTATCAAGAACTGTTAAATGCACACTAGAAGCACCAGACAAGATATGGCAGCAATATTCAATGATTTACTCTACGTCCCAAATGTAAGTTCAACTTGGTTAACTTTTTCCCCAAGAAATGACACTTTGTGGAATAGACACCCAACCAGATGCTTCCTCATACACTACAATTTTAATGTCTTCAATTTGAGGCATATCCAAATAGAAAGTTTGTCATTTGCGACAGTCAGCTGATCTTCAATCAGTTGTTAACTGGGGCAAGAAATGGCTGGTTAATTAAAAAATAAACTGCTCTTTTTTTTAACATCTTAGAGAACTTTTCTTGCCTTCCAGCATTATGGCTGATAACCTTCAGAAATATAACACATTGTACCTTCCCTGTCTAATGTTTTCCACTGATATGAACAGGAATGATTTATAGAACTTATAGTAGTCGGCTACTCAGAAACTTGGATCACTGTATTGTGCTAGATAATTTTTCTCATCCAATCTGTCTTACACCTTTATAAATCTACCATTCATCTGTGCCTTTGAATATCGCGGTCACATCTGATCTGGTGATTCCGCTTTGTATCTAGAGAAATTGGGGGTGGGGACCAAAAGAACCTGCTATATTATCAGTACTGACCTGGAATTTCGACTTCAATTACTGTCTCACTGCTACTGGGATTTCTTTGTGACTTTTCTATGAATATTTTCAGGACAATTTTTCTGATGAGCTTTCCTCCTTGGGATCTTGACTTTGTGAATTTAAGCATATTACTAGATAAGCTGTTAGGTCTCATTTTACGTTGATACATGTAACAATAAGTTCTATTCTAATAGTTTCATCTTTCTTCCTTGTAGACTACAAACTTTCAAAAATTTAAATGTATCTTCTGTTTCTCTGAATCCTGTATGTTTTTTGTTGTTGTTGTTGGGTTTTTTTCTCCTCAGTAAAATTTTCTAAATTTCCTTCACTCCCAGTAACTCCCTTGCATCTTAGTGGCTTTATTACATTGCTTGGGAGCGAGATGATTAAAAAAAAAAAGTAATGACAGTATGAATTTATAAATATAACAGACTATTTGTCTCCTACCCACCCAAAATGCTGGAAACTTTTACATCACCCAATAATTTCTTCCTGTACCTTATTTCGGTCAGACATAAACACCTCATCACATTCATTTTAATATACACCAACCTTAAGTGTCAGCTCCTCTTGATCTACTTAGGAACGAATGGCTTTCAATGCAACCCTCGAAAAACAAGACCCATAAACTGATAGTATTGCTTACTACAATCAACTGTCATTAGGTGAACATGAAGCAGTGTGAGCGGAAAACCCACAAAACTATTTGTTTGCCATCAGGTGCCCATATCCTGAATGAGAATCATAAGAGGTGAGAACAGTTCAAGAGCTGATATGAGTTTCTCACTTGGAGAAATAAACAAAGAAGTAAACATACTGTGAAATGTTTGTTTAGCCGTGACAGCTTCATAAAAAGCAGTTTTGCATGCATAAAAAATAAGTACGGTAAAAACGATTAGTCACTTTAATATCAGTGATTATAATGTGACACAGCTCAGAAGTTGGGGAGTTTTTGTTTTGCCTGGAGATAAAATAAGGAGGAAACAATAGATTTTAAGAGGTTTGATAAATGGTTAAACCTGTTTTTTTTTTTTTTTTTTTTGTTTATTTTTTTTTTTTTTTTTGTTTGTTTTGTTTTTTTTGTTTTGTTTTTTTTTTTTTTGTTATTTCCTTTAATATTTATTCTATTTCTTTTTTTATTCTTTATGCAGTTTCAATGGTATTTTTTGCCACTGTATAATTTTAATGGTATTCTTTTTTTTGGCTCCCTGTATAGTCTTAATGGTATTCTTTTTTTTCTGCCCCCCCGTATAGTCTCAATGGTATTCTTTTTTTCTGCCTCCTGTATAGTCTCAATGGTATTCTTTTTTTCTGCCTCCTGTATAGTCTTATGGAATTAACATTAATTCCATTTATAATTTTACGCGCGCGCGAGTTTCCTCCCTTCCTTTCACACTCGTGCGTGTGTGCGCGCGTGTTTTCACCCCTACCTTTCACTCACAGCTAAACATAGCAGTAAGCTCCTTTTAGCTGCTACTGATTAACTCATGATAGATTTTGAATTTTTCCCGCGCGTTTCGCAGCGTCTCAAACGGCCAGCGTTTGCAAGCCAGTTGTTTCCCGGTCCTCAACCTGAGTAGACGGGCAACTCATTTATTCCGTGCCCTTAACCCATATGCGGGCCGGAATATCTTATTTCAACAATGTCGACTGCACCCTCTACCAAGACCTTTTCTCCTTTTGAAGCTGCCAACAGGTCGGACCTTTTCTCCGTTTTTCTACTAGAAGACGTTTTTAGATACGCGACACTGTCGCGAGCAAAAGTTCGTATGCAACTAATGGCGTATTTTTATCCCTCGACAGGGGCCTAATAAGTATAGGCAGGGAGGTCCTACTGAACGAACAAATTGCTAATCACAGGTCAGGACCTTTTTACTCCGTTTTCTACCAGAAGACGTTTTTGAGACACACGACACTGTCGTCGGCAGAAACTTCGTGTTCAACAGGTGACTTAAACTTACCCCTGGCTTCGAACCAAATAATACAGGCAGGGATAGTATTACCTGTGAACAAAAACATTTTCGTCTTTCTCTTTGGGCTCGCCGTGAACCATTCTACAAGACCATGCTTCGTTTTTTCCCGGCTAGATGCCCCACAGCAGTCCAGAACATTTACCAGCGGTCAATTCAATGTTTACCGAACATTCTTTATAACTCTGAACCTGTACATTAAAAATATGCATAATCACTTACAACTTAAAATATCCACAGTGAGTACTCCTTTCTATCTGTGCGCACATTCTTTTCCGGAACTGTATAAGACTTTCTTTTCCCGCCTTTGGCCATCTTGTATTTCTATTTTGGCGCGGAACACTTTTCATTGATCCCTATCTTGGGATGAGTTACTCGTTACTGTTTAATTAAAGTTTTGTTTACTCATGTTTTATAAACAGATGTCTTTGTCATTTTTATTTCGGCTATCTTAATACCATTTAAATTATGCACTTGTTGATTGACCCCTTTCCTCATTGTTCATTCACGCATATTTATCTTTTTACTTTGCTTGTAGACTCGGTAGTTTAGTGTGGTGTCTGGCACAAGGCCACTTAGTAATAATCCAGCACTGCATCCTACCGGGTCCGCAACAGTCTCAATGGTATTCTTTTTTTCTGCTCCCTGTATAGCTTCAATGATATTTTTTTGGACTCCTGTATAATTTCACTGGTATTTATTTTTTATTTTTTGCTCTCTGTGCTGTTTCAATGTTATTTTGGCTCCTTCTACAGCTTCAACAGTATTTTGTTTGCTACGAGTTTCATTTTTATTTTATACTTTTTTTTTTTTTTTACTCCAATACAATTTCAATGATATGGCACATATGGATTATTCTTATCTTTTATCCTTTTTAAGGAATGAATAGTTATTATGTCACATATGTAGTTTGTTCATAAAGTATATAGCCATTTACTATTAATTAAAAATATTCTGGAGTGGATGTTTGCAGTCTCGAGTACAAACCAAGCCTATTACATCAGCATAATCTCTTTTAAATCACTGATTTATTTTGTCCTATAAAACATGTTCAGCATTAAAATTCAAAAAAATGTGGGGGTGACATGTCATTAATTTAATCAATCTCACCTAAACTAACCTAACCAAAATGGCAACAATAATCAGAGTAAAATAAATTATTATTCTTATCAGTATCTAATACTGATGTAGAAATGTAGAAAGACCATTATATCTATTATGACAGCTAGTCTACTAAGAGTATACCAGATACATGCATCACAGCCGAACGTGTGTAATATGATTACAGGTTTTTCTTAGAAATTGGGTCCAGTTAGAAATACCTTGAGGTTGTGTAACTCGGCTCACTCGTATGGTCTCTTGGCTGACTCATCCTTCAAATTTGAAAAAGAATATCTCTCAAAACGCAGCTATGATGAGCTCCTGCTATTCTAGCTCATGAACAGAGTGTTAGCCCCTAGGAGACATATTCAACTGGTTAAAGTCAGTCAACTGACAAGCAAATTTAATACTGAATTGGATATTTACTGTAGCTCATCTTCAGTTACCAGGACTTGTTAATACCTCTGATCATTTAAAATCAGAAACCATGAGAGCCATACCTGGTATATTATCAGTTTTTTTTTTCTTTTTCTTTCCCTCTTTTCTTTTTCTTTCCCTCTTTTCTTTTTCTTTCCCTCTTTTCTTTTTCTTCTGCTTCCTTTCCCCTTTTCCTTTTGCTTTCCCCTTTCTTTTCCCCTTTTCCTTTTTCTTTCCCCTTTTCCTTTTTCTTTCTGCTTCCTTTTCCTTTCCTTTTCCCCCCTTTTCTTTTCCCCTTCTTTCCCTTTTCCCCTTTAACTTTCCCCTTTCTTTTCCCCTTTAACTTTCCCCTTTCTTTTCCCCTTTTCTTTTCCTCTTTCCCCTTTTCTTTTCCTTTTTCTTTCCCTTTTTCCTTTTCGTCTCCTCTTTTCCTTTCCCCTTTTCCTTTCCCCTTTCCCTTTCCTCTTTTCCTTTCCCTTTCCCCTTTTCCTTTCCCTTTCCCCTTTTCCTTTTCCCTTTCCCCTTTTTTCTTCCCTTCCTCTTTCCCCTTTTTCCTTTTCCTCTTTCCCCTTTCCTCTTTCCTTTCCTTTTCCTTCCCTTTTCTTTCCCCTTTTCCTTTCCCCTTTTATTTTTTCTTTCCCCTTTCCCTTTTTCCTTTTCCATTTTCTTGCGTTTGCATTTTCTTCTTTTTCTCTTTTTGGTATCAAATGCAATCAGAGAAAAACTGTTGACACTGCATGGAGAGAAATCCACTCAAATGTGAGAACTCATTTTATATATATATATATATATATATATATATATATATATATATATATATATTCCACCCCTTTTTAGGGCTGCCAGGAATTTGATCTGCATATTTGTTTATTATTATTATTTCTCATTGCAAAAAGTAAGTACTAAATTATGTTTGCAAAGGGTAACTCCTTCAGCTGGCCTTAAGAGTCTTTTAATGACTTTTATTGATCTTTATTAATAAAGACTCTGATCTCTATTGATCACAAATTATAATTGTCTTACTTAAATGAGATGAACTTAATCAATCATCAGAATAGATTGATCTGTCACAGAAAATGCTAACTTGGGATTAATTGCTTCAGCTTTCTACTTGAACTGTCATTCCCACTTTTGAAATATCAGATTAAACTCACAACAATGTGTGTATTTAAGGTTTTATCTGATTCCTAAGATACTGAATGGACTGCACAAAACAGTATTCTTGATAAATATTTGATTTCCCTGTTATGTCTGGGTCACTGTGTGTTGTCTATATGCTCTAGGGAACACTAATAAATCCACACTCTTCACATTTATCAATTGCATCAGGACTAATTTAGTCATTTAATAAGTAAAGCTTAGGTGTAGCACCATGGTAATGGCAATGGTAATATTAGCTGTTTCCTTATAAGGAAACATTTGGTATTCATGGATCAAACAGTTTGTACTACTTTTGGTTGGAATTTATAAAATCTTTCTCTTAAGACAATTTTTCTCAAGTCCAGTAGCTGTTATCACTCTTTCCAGTATTGATGGGGTTTTCTTTCCTAACCTTTTATTTGAAGTAGTGTGGAACACTGACATCTTGATTATAACCTTATTTTCTCTTTGAATTAGTTATGCAATTCATTTTAGTTGTTGCTGCTGTTGAAAGTTTTCAAGTGATGTGGTTTCTGTTATTTGGTATAGTTCTTTGTTTGTGATCCTGTAGCATCAGGGAGTGTGGTCTTCAAGACCTACAGGCTTCAACCACTCAAAGCAATTTTTAACCATTGATCTTGGAAAGTAGTTGTATACAACTGACAGCTGAGATGTTTCTGAATGGCTTTGCCACCATGCATCACATCCTAGTGAAATTTTCACACTTCCAAGGCAATTTAAGAACATGACTTGTTTTCAGGTTCATGGTTTGATGACAGTGTTGTCTGTTATGCCTAAGTCACTCTGTATTGTGCATACACTCTAGGGAAGACTAACGAATCCAAACTCTTCTCTATTATCAATTGCATCAGGATTAACTTAATCATTTATGGAGTACCCAGTGAATCGAGAATAATTTAGTGACTTCTCTGTTTGACTGTATATAAAACTCTTCCCACACTTGGATTTATCCCATGAAAAGCAGTAAAGACTCAAAGGTTATTGGTGTAACAATACGATTTCTCACACATCCTTAGTAGATAAATTCCTTTTCCCTTTAAGTCCACTTGATTATTTGAGTTTCTTAGGAAATTTGTCTCCAGTCCATCTTTGAGTCAACTTAGGAATCCTGAAAACTGACACTTAACTCCAACCCACCTTTGAATTGGCAAACATTATGAATGATTTTAGATGATTATAAAAAAAGTAGTCCTTTGAAAAAGCTGACCACCCAAAAAGCTGAATGGGTGGTAATTGTCCAGGGACAGATAGGAATGGTCAGACCCCAGCCAGTATCCATATAAGCAGAGAAAGGCAGGAAGTTAGTAGGTAGGTGACCAGCAGCCAGTGAAGAAAGGACCAGCAAGCAGTTTGAGAGATAGCAGTCGACCATCAAAGCTGAAGCAAAAGATTGGCAGTTTAGTGAGAATTCATATTGTTCCTATTTCCCAACCAGTGTCTTGAAAAGAATTTTGTCACTATTTATTTATTTTTTTTTTTTTTGTTGAATATGATCATGGCTGAGACAAATCTGGGAACATAAAAAGTCAGGTGTATATGCAGACATACTTGACCTTGGATGTTGTCCCAGGTGCAGTGAACAAATCATATTGTCACACTCTGTGTGAGAGAATTAGAAAACGGAAGGATTATTGAGGAGCAAGGACAATAGAAGAATCAAACTTGTCTGAAAAAATCTAGCCAACTTAACTGTAAACTGACGGTACTTCTTTGCTTATCTAGTACTACACTTAAATTAAAAAAAATAACAGGTACCATAGCAAAGATATCCTCTGAACAATTACCATGAAAGTATTTATAGAAAAGGTACAGGGAAGCTATATTACAGCAGTGGGAAAGTTTAGAGGTCAAAGATGCCAGGTAAAAACCAATAAGAATCGGATTCTTCTTGGTCCATCAAAAATCTCTAAAATCAAGAAGAATCCACCACTGTAATGGAATCTATGCCTTTTCTATATATACAACAGGAGCACCAGACCATATGTGGCAGCAATATTCAAAGCATGGATGAATGGTAGACTTATCTATAAGTCTACCATTCGATTCAGGGGAGAAAAAGTGTCTAGCACAACAGTAAACTAACTTTCTTAGCACCAGACTTGGCAACTGATTCAATATAATCTTTCCACTTCATGTCAACCAAGAACGTAAGCTCAAGAAGGTGCAATGAGTCACTCTCCTGGAAGTTAGCATCAACCATTCTGATGGAAGACAGAAAGGGTTCTCTCACATGATTAATATAGAGCAGTTTTGTTTTGGAGACATTAAAATTAACAGGCCGTCCTTTGCCCCAGTTAACAACAGACTGTAGGTCTTTTTTGAGCTCAGCCACTAATTTGACCTTACCGATCAAAACTAACTATCAAGACAGGAGCAAATGGTCGTGTCTTCAGCATAGATACCAAGTTGAGTTTAAAATAATGGCAATATTTTAAATGTTAATATTCTGTAAATACAATGCAATTACCAAATCACTGTCCCTTTATTCTGGGTGGGGGTCTAAATAAGTTGGTAGATGTGCACATAGTGTAGAGTTTAGCAGCATAGAAAATGGGGCTGGCCTACAAAGTTCAAATTCTATCCAAGGTTTTTATGTTTGCTTTTTGCATTCACACAAATACTCTTGGAAAAGGGTTAATAGAAAGACAAATTGGGCCTCAAGCCTTGGCTGGCAACTAGTCTACAAGAAGTATAACTCTGAATTCAAAGCCAGTTGAGTTTGGGGGCTAGTAATTCTACCTCATAAAAACTTACTTGCTATAGTAATAATAGCAGCAACAACTAGCATGATGAGGTTGGAGTCCTATACTCTACACGGGAGTCTACATCATCAAAATAATTTGACATAAATTATGGGATTTTATTAAAAGAACAGAACATTATAATTCTGTTAACTCTATCACTATTCTCTATGTAGCAAACTCTTATGGTGACAGAAAATTGTGACATATACATTTTGTGGGTTTTAGGTAACTGGAAACAAAGAGAAACAGATATTCAAGTGAAAAATCAGTATATATTAAAATAACCTTTATTCACATAAACTTACAAAAACGGGCAAAGAGAATTCATTAAAACTGAACTTGGCATTATGTATAGGCTTGAAGCAGTCTTAGAAGTAAAGGGTGTTTCTTTAAGAAGGATGATAAATAAGGGTGTTTCATTAAGATGGATCAAAGTCAGCAGTAAATAAATCAGTGTTATTGGTGAAAATTTATTTTCTATATTGGATCATGTTATTTAAATCATGGCAGTTATGTGTGAAAAATAATATCTCCCAAATGTCCACCAAGGCTTCAGTGGTGCACCTCCACTTGATGGTCAAAATTTTTGATGACATCTCTGCATAACAATATCACCAATATACCTTATCTCATCCTTCAGCTGTTTAATTGTTGTTGGCTTGTTGGCATAAACCTTACTTTTGAGATGACCCCAAAAGAAGAAATCTAAAGGCGTCAAGTTGCACGATCATTGTAGCCAATTGACTTCACTGTTTTGGGAGATGATGCAACCTGGGAAATTCTCCTGGCATTTCTGTTTGAACATCCATTTTTGCAATAGGCTTCGATTATTTTAACATGTTGTTTGATTGTTAATCTTTCCATGGTTGAAATTGCCAAAAACTTAAGTTGTTAAATCAGAAAGAAAAAGAGAATAATCATTAGACGCTTAAACTTAATTCACATTTAAAATCGCCCAAGTTATTGGAACACCCTTTAACTGCATTGATATTGTCATCTATCAGTTAATGATTTTTTTGCTTTTACTCCCAATACAGTTTCAGTAATATGACACACATGAAGAATTCTTATTCCTTTTAAGGAATGAATAGTGTTATATGTTTCATATGAAGGTTTTTTCAGAAAATATTTAGCCATTTACTAATAATAAAATAACATTTTGGTCTCCTTCAAAATATTCTCTTTGGAAACTTATCCTTGAAACCTTCCCACTTTCAAATCCTATATTCAATCGATGGAGTTAAATTCTTCTCAGTTTGATCTATATTCTTAAGGGTATCTTCTATCAGTTTATACAGGAACAATGTGAGGTCACTTTTCTCTTTTTATCCATTGAACCAGTTTACCATTTTAATATTGTGACTCCAGTAACCAAAATGTGGAGCCCTATCAACAGGGCTTAGAATTCGCCAACTGTATCCCTCGGCTGAGGAGTAAAACTCTACCCAAAACTGTTCACCTTCTGGGGTGGATGCTTGCAGCCTCACGTATGAACCAAACCTATTACATCAATGTATTATATATTAAATCCCTGTTATTTTTTTTGTCTCATAAGACCTGTTCAAAAGTAAATAGTCCCTGTCGCCTTTAGTGAAACTTAAATCAAGTGAACTAAAAGGCCAAATTTTTGGTTGAAATGCCTGAAAATTCTCAGCTAGGTATTCCTGGCCATATGGAAAATACCTGCTTCGGCATGCACAGTGGGGAGGTTGATTTTTTTTTACTTTCTTTAGAAAATCAACATTGCACTCAATGTGAAAGCTGGGGTTTGACTTGAGAAGTACTGACACCAAACATTACATGATGCATAGATCCTGCCAATTATTGGGCATTTAAAGATTATCTAAAAAAATGTAAGAAATTTCCACAGGTTTTTGCTTAGAAACTAACTTCAAAATTTTACTATTTCAAGAATAAATCCAAATACACTTGATATTTTTTATGTTATATACATTGGAAAATATATTCAAATCAGACTTCTGGTTATTAACCACTACAAGTAAAATATGCAATTTTTTTATTGTATTCAATGAGTGAAATTGTAAAAGATTGCAAAAATGCCTACTCAATAAATAAGATTTTATGCCTTATATTAGGTCATAATTAATCAAAATAAAAATAAGTGTATGTAGAACCATAATACTGTTGGTCACAAATTATAAGACGAAATGTTCTATATTTGCATTGTTTATTGAAAATCACACTAAAACTACTGCACGGTATAAGTTGTATCATAATAGAGTGAAATTGTTTAGTATAATTTTCTTTTGAATAAATGAAAGTTTTATTTGATGACACAATGATTTAGTAATAATGTGCTTGTGTCCTGCGGCTTGTCTATATACAATTTATAAATTATAAATTTTATACGACTGTGCTATAAGGATTTCACAGATCACCAGAATTAAATTCAAACACTATTGTTTTGAACCTAGACTTTAAAAAGAAAAAAATGGTAATGAGTTGGAAATAAATATTTTGTTTTTATTTATCATGTCAAACCCCCAACTTTCAAATTGAGCACAATACCACGATTCCAAAATCAACCTGCTCTAATGCACAGCCTCCATTCAGCTATCATCTTGATCCAGAGTTTGAACCCCCATGTCCAGCACAGAAATGAAGGAAGTGGCATTGACCTGAGGTCCTCCAGGCAGAAGTGGGATAATTCATGGTCCACCATTGCTCATAACTGCCAGGAATATCATAGATGTAAATTTTATGTGAATGGATGCATTGTTTAGAATGTTATTGTTCTGACCATGAAATCTGGGTTCAAATCTCACATTGGTTGACTTGTGAAGCTAAGATGACATCTTCATAATATCAGTCTGGAGACACAATCCAAGCATGCAACACCACTGCTAAAAAACACTTGAAAAAAAAATACAACAGTTTGATCCAAACCTTGCAATTGAAACTGAGTAGATGAAACTGTCCTAAAGCCAACAGTGGCACAAAGTCATGACCAAGTGTTTAAATATACTGGCTTTGTCAAAATTGGCGATTATACTAAATTATGTGATCTCTCCCAGTGACACTGCTCAGCAAAATTTGCAGGTTAGTTCTGTTGGTGTTGAAGAAACACATGTCTGAGCAGGCGTCCACAACAGGGATTAGCTAGCCATCCTAGAAGACTTGCAAGCTTGGAAACCAGCAGCCAACATTCTTGTGAGCTTTATTGTTCTGAACAAAGAACCAGAGAATTTTAAATTTTCAGGGTGTTTAAGCTTCTTCAGTAATCATACAATTCTCTTGCATCTTATTGGACATTAAATTTCCTCTTGCCTTCCTAAAGGTCTTGACTGATAATGTTGATAGGAGAAACAGAAAGGAAACTACAGAAAGTCCTACAAAAGGTTGTAAAATAAAACAAGAAGAAAGGACTAAACATTTAATTATAAAAAAATAGTGAATAGTTGTCAGTAAAAGAAATTGCCCAACATGAGAATTACAAATCAGAGATACCAAAATTAAACAAGTATAAAAATTTAAATATCTAGGAAGTGCTTCAATATAGGACAGAAAAGGCAATGTGTATTAGGATAATGAAAAATGCCTTCCAAAAGCTAAACAAAATATTAAAAAACAGGAAAACTTTATTAGAAACAAAGGAAAGAAAGTACTGAAATTTTATGTAACATCAGTCTTCCAACATGGTAGTAAATGTTGGACAATCTCATCACAGATTAAAAAAAAAAAAGTCTTTAGTCAACAGAAATCTGGTTCTACAGATGGATGCTGAGAATATGAACTGAACATGTGATCAATGAGGAAGTTTTAAAGTAAATGGGAGCATAAAGGCTACTTAGAATCAGAAAGAGATAATTCAAATTTCTAGGGCACTTAATAAGTAAAAAGGGTTTGGAAAATTTGACCCTCACAGGATATATTGAAGGTAAGACACAGAGAAAAGCAGGCTTGTTAGGCAGAACAGGGATTAGGAGAGATGCTAAAAAACATTACTTGGTTAGGAAATTGTGGAGAGCCATGATCACCCATGTACTGAAGGGACATGGTATATAGATGAATTCTGAAATCCTTATGACATCTGATTGCTTAAAATGCTTATTTCTCTAGCTACTCTTCACCTTATTCTTAACCTTGAACACAAAGGACCTAGCAAGTTTTTTAAAGTGGCTGATAAAATGATTATTATGAACACAGTGTGGCTTTTCATTTCCTGTGTCAGGTTGTAAGCCACCATGTTAATACTTTCTCAACATATCTGAAAGAGAAATAAAAATATTAAAATTTAATGTTGAATGAGATTGTTAGGTCATATTTCTTTTATGGCCTGGTGAAAGTGTTCTCAAATACCTGGAGCAAGTTTTGTTTTATTACAATCAAGACATGGTCTGTTTAATTTTCTTTTTTTTGTTTTGTTTTGTTTTTACTTTTACATTTTTCAGGCTTGTGTATAAGTTATCACATTTGGATCAAATTTGTGAAGAAAATGTCCTCAATATATGAAATGCATATCATAAGCTTGTAAAAAAAAAAAAAATTATGAAAGATTTTTTTTCTAAATGAACCATGTAAACTAGAACTGAGAGGTGATCCCATAGTTAAAAAAAAAAACAAACATTTCTTTTACATCAAAAAGATTATTTTTCAACATAATCCTCTTCCTTGTCATTGCACTTAACCCTTGCTGCCTCATTAATCACATAGATAAAAATTATGAAAATTTCAGATCAAAATTGCACTAATGATGTTATAGGGCTAAGGAGTGATCAATTCTTACATGAGTTTTTAACAGAGAGACGTTACCAATTGTAATGGCATTCTGTAGACTCTCTAAACAAATAAAAGCAACTCATACATGGATGGATGTGTGTGTGTGTTAAAAAAATACATATAAAAGTGAACATTGAAGTCATCACTCAGGTTACAGGGTTGGGAAATTTGGGGCCTCTGAGTGTTGACTTCAATGTTCACTTTTTATATTTACATATGCTCTATCTCTATTGAGCACTTTATCCCATAAATATAGCACATCTTAAAACTATATTTCTTCATATATATATATATATATATATATATATATATATATATATATATAAAATCAGGTGTAACACAGCTCAGGAAAGGATAGAAAAAATATATGCAAATCCCATTTCATTCCTATCCAATTAAGGTACATGCACTTGCATCTCCAAGTTGAACAGACTGCTTTAAGAACATCCAAATTAATTTCACTCCTGACCAATCGTAAAGCATATCTTGTCAAGTAGACTACTTTAAAAACTGATTATTCTTCTGCCACTGGTGAGTAACTAACCATCTTTTTTGGGTTAGTGGCTATTCTCTCAACATGTGACAAAGCATAAATAAGATGCCTGGTGCTGGGGATTCCAAACATGTGGCAGCGTCTCCCACACTAAAGAGGGAGGGTTGGTGGCAAATCAACACCAGCACAACATTAGTTACAGGGTTGGGAATTTTGGGGGCTTTAGCCCAGGTGAACGCTCTTGGGCTTCTAATTTTAAACCAACCACATCCTGCCACCATTGAGGTGGCAGTAAATAATGAGTGATAAACTAGTTCCTTCCTTCTTTTTTCCTTTTCAATCATATCTTTATCTGTCTATATTAGTTTATCTCTGTCACTGCTCATTTTTCCCCCTCTTTCCCTATGTCATGCTTTCTTTCTCCTGTAATTCCTTTTCTCTCATTCTAGATCTGTCTTTCTTTTTTCTTTTCCTTCTTTCTCCATGTCATGCCTTTTTCTCATTTGACTTCTTTTCTCTCTCTCTCTCTCTCTCTCTCTCTCTCTCTCCATTTTTTCCATCTCTATCAAAGCAGCAGTAAGCACATTTTGGTCCTTCATCTTCAAGGTTGCTTAGTAACTGATAAATTTCACCTGCAATCCCGTTGACTGCAGTCATATGCAATTTGATTGCAGACAGGATGTTACCTGTGGCTAGTGTTCAAGAGTGATCAGGTTTTTCACAAAACACCTGCAGTTGTTCAAGACAACATTGATTAGGGGTGGTAGACGCTACCCATATGAAATGTCTGAGATTACAGGTATGCATATCTATTTCCCCCAAGCTTATCTGAATCAAATTGCGACAATAGACTTTTTGGGGCGGGGGGGGGGGTATTGAGTTTGGTATAACATTACCTTCTTTTAAACTCTAATTGTTCTTCTTACATAATACAACCATGCCAAGAAAGTAGATGCCTTATGTTATAGTTCAGTTTACGACCACATCACATTAAAACAGTAGTTCCCACATGATCACCAAAGTTAAGCAATGTCAAGCATGGTCAGTACTTAGATGGGTGATCGCTTGGGAATACCTGGTGCTGTAAACTTGGATGTGTGGGTGGAGTAATGTATAATGGCTCTGAATTTTTTATCAGAGACCTGAGTCCCAATACCTATTAGGCTTGTTATATCCACTTACATGCAAATGCCTTGGGGAAAAGTATGAATCCATCTCTTCTCCCCCTAGCTATGGGTTAATTAGTAAGATGTATCACTAAAATATTATCTCTCAAAAAAATCTGGAATCTGGAATGCTAAATATGGCTTCTCTAGAAACCTAGAAGAATTTCTGGCAGCTCCAATTCCTATTAATAATTATTACACGTAAGACCCTATATTTTTGTCTCCTTTTCACACTGTTTAATTTCATAAAATTCTCTGAGAACGAAGCATGTTTGTCATTTCTTTTCTTTCAGCTATTCTGTTCTGTCTGTGAAATAAGGTGTTATTATATCAGGAATATAATAATGCCCATAATAGGGGAAATACTAATTAGGAATAAACCTTTTTCTCATAGTGTACCCAACGTGATGTATATTTAACCCCCATTAGTATAAAAGATTTAATTACTTTATCATCTGATTCAATAGGTAGGTCAGGAACAGTCTAGAAAATTCTCATCATTCATTGAACTAAAATTGCTACTCACACATGTACAAACCTGGTAGGTTTTATTGATATTTAATCTTCATAAATGTTACTTGTTAGGATCATAAAAAGATTTGTTTGCAGATAATTGGTTGGTTAAATTTTGAATATGCTTTTTCAGTCAAAAAAACTGAGAACAAAGAAAATAGTCTAGTTGACCATTACCATTAGTCTAGTATGATCATCAATGGGCACCCCACAGTTGTAACCTTGTGCCAGACAAGATTTAAGAAATATCTATACTTAGGTGCTTTACCATCAGAACATAGCAGAGCATGAGTACAATGCAGCAGGTTTGATCCTCAATGGGTGCCCCACAGTTGTAACCTTGTGCCAGACAAGTTTGAAGAAATATCTATAGTGAGGAACTTCACCATCTGGTTCTAGCAGAGCATGGCAACACTTTGATTTTTCTAAAAGTAATTTGAGCCAAAGAGTTGTGAGTTCAATCCCTGGCCACAACAGAGGGAACAAAAACTTGGAGAGTTATCAAGGGGAATTAACTGAAACTGAGATATCCAAAAAAGGCATGGCATGTGGAATTAGAACAATCTACCCCATGGACTAAATAAAGTGTTCGGTTCAAAATTCCAACTTATATCACCTGAAGAAGGCTAGAGAAACATTGTGAATATCACAAAGATGAAGACAACAGTCCAAACAATGTAAATTATGTAAAAAATATTTTTCAGACATTTTTTTTTTTTTTTATTGAATAATTTTAACTTTTGTCATGGACTTTTTTTCCTTTGTGTATTCAATTTGCATTATTTGGTTGGTTGATTGGTTTTTGTTTAGCGGCATATCAACAACTTTATGGGTTATTTAATGCCAAAATCTAAATATTTGATACACATTTTTGTGATGATAATGTTTTAATGCTAAAAGTCTTATTAATTAACCCATAGCTAGAGGGGCAGAAGAGTTTGGCATTTAGGTACCACCTTTTTTGCAGTTGAAAGTGCTAGATGAAATCATGAGTTATGTTTTAATAGTTTCTTTACTTGCACTTCTCGCCCATGGAACTCTTTTCCACCTTCATGCTTTCCTGTCAACCATGATCTTGAAACATTTAATGTCAAGCGTCATCTGCTGTCTCTTTGAATCCTGTTCTTTTATTGGTCTTTCTCAAGGAGGTTTTTATGGTATTGAGCTGTCAACTAATTTAAATTCAAAGTTGTCCTCTCAAACTGTTTGCCCCCCCCAAGGCTACATACCCTAGTTTGCTCTGGTATTTAAACTATAACTGGAGCAGGGATCAAAAGAGATTCTTACCTTTTTACCAAGGTGAAAGGGGATACAAAGAACTCTCATGGAATTTAAAGTTGGCATTAAAAAACAGGAAACATTTCAATAGAAACAAAGGAAAGGTGACTGAACTGTTTTGTAATATCAGTCATCCTCTATGGCAGTGAATGTTGAATCATCTCCTCACACACGAAGAAACTAGAAGCAACTAGATATGTGAATGCTAAGAATACCATGAACTGAACATGTGAACAATGACGAAGATTTAAATAAATCAAAAAACAGAAAGAACACTTACATTTGATATCCAAAAGAGACAACTGAAATTTCTAGAACACATAATGAGGAAAGAGGGTTTGGAAAATTTGACACTCACAGGATATGTTGAAGGTGAGGAAAGCAATGAATAACACAATCTACAGAGATTGTGTCAATAGTTGGCAGAACAAAGGTTAGGAAAAATAGCAAAAAACCACACCTTGCCAAGAGCTACACAGAATAGGAAGTTGTGGAGAGCCATGATCATCCATGTCCAGAAGGAACTTGGCACATAGAAGAGTGTTGATTCAACTTTTCACACTGATAAATGCAGAGGCGTACATGGCAATTATCATATACATTGAAGATTAGACCATTAAAAAATTCACATGGCTTTGAATCTCGCATTTGTCATTTTGTCAGGAAGGTGATAATTAATGCTATTTATTTGGAGAGGGGATCCAAGTATGTGGCACCTTGATAAAGTACCTGAAAAATATACAAGAGATGACCCAAGTTTTGTGAGTGAAAGTAGGTAGTTCAAACCGTTCAGAACCCATCGTTGGTTACGCCAGCATGAATTCACAAGTCTTTATGAAATTGTACGCTATCCCCCACAAGCTGTAACTAAGGTTCACTCAGCATAGTTGCAGCATAAATATCACAGGTGGGCATAATGGGTGTTGAATAAATGCAAATGTGCCTGAGCAGGTGTCTTCAATAGGGACTGGCTAGCTGCCCTGGCAAAAAACAAGTAGCCAGTCATCATCTTCTTTTTATATATATATATATATAGGCTTAGATCTGTTACTGGTAACAAGGGACCCAGTACAACCTGCCATGTTGGCATCTAAAACCAGCTCCCTCACTAGATTTTCTGCTGGTGAGGGGGTGGTAAAAAACAAGACCTGTCAAAGAGTGAGCTTTATATAGGAGCCAACACACACACACACACACACACACATATATATATATATATATATATATATATATATATATGACGATGTGGTCTCTAGCCTTGAATGGCAACCTTCCTAGAGATGGTGTGAACATGGACAACTATGAATGCCTGAGTTGGGCATCAGGAAGATTATGTGGCCTTGTAAAACCATGCCTCAAATCATTATGAACTTATGTCAGGCAGGATCCAACTTATGTGTGAGATTAATCCCCATTTTGCCTTAAGAAAAAAAAAAAACATACACACACACACACACACTTGTAACTGATAGGTCAATTTTACTTGTCTCATTAGCACCAAATAAGTTATGATTTATGGCACTCTTTTTCGGATTCAATAACCGGAACTTGTTTATCCTGTGATTAGAAAGACACTTGCCTGTTGGCAAAGCACGTTTTCTTTTATTTCTTTTAACAGGTAGCATTAAAAAAAAAAACGAAAAAAACAAGCAGCCATGTCTTTGAACATTCAGATGACATTTTCCTACGTTTGACCCTCCCCTTGATAAAACCAATGAGCTAACAACATCCATCAGTTACATGTTCCTTTATTCTAAAAATCATTAAACACTGAACTCTCATTATACTAAAATAGATTCAGCATTTTGTTTTTATTTTTTCAAAGTTTACTTGCTTTACTCTCTGGCCTTCTCCAGGTCAAGCAGCCATTTTGTCTGGTGTAATGAATAGTGGCTCAGAATGAGAAATCAGTGGGTAAATTTCAATTTTTTAAGTTTGGCACTTACATACAATTACTCTTTGGTAAGGTATGAATTCATCTTTTCTCCTCCCTGTTAATGGGTTAAATAATAGAACTTTATGAAAAAAAAAATCATTTTCATTCTCAAAAACGTTTTTAATGCAATATTAACTCAGAAAATAGAATTATTCTTAAAATGTAAAAGAAAATGCTTGGGCTTTAAATAACCCACAAAAAAAACAATATCAATCTCCAGGTCAATGCAGAAGTATAAATGGCTACTTGAGTATACCTATCTACTAGGGTAGCTAGCCAGTCCTTGTTGCAGATGCCATCTCAGTCATATTTGTGTTTGTCCGACATCCACAGAGCTAATATTTGTTTGTACTGCAGTGATACTGAGCATATATTACAGTTTCTGGGACAATGCATGCAATCTGGTCTGATCAAATTTTTGAACAAGACCAGTACACTCAAAGCCTCTGGCACAATGGCTTGCAGCTTCATGCCATCACAATCACCAATGGCTTTCAAACAGTTTCATCTACTTGATTTCATGATGATTTTCAGGCCCCCAACAGTGCAACACTCTAAGTTATTATTATCAAGAAGTTACTTCCATGATAAATTGACCATGGTTAGATTCAAACCTAGATCTCCTGGTCAGCACAAAAATTTTGCACAACTCACTCACAGGTGAATGCTGTTTCAATTCCTATCTGTTGTCCTTCATAGGGAATGTCGGCAGTTACCAATTCTTCCTGATGTTATTTACTAAGGACAGCATAGTCTGACACAAGATCACAAATACAGAGCAATCATGAAGAATGATCTAAGAGAAGTTTCTAAATTATTTCACTATGAGGTGTGTGTCATTTCTTTCAGATAATGACAAAAGAAAGTTGTTTGAATATATCTACACTATTTTCATTGTTCGGACTATTGTCCACATCTTTATTGTCATATTCACAATGTTTCAGCTGTTGTACACTCCAGCCTTCTTCAGGTGATATAAATTAGAATTTTGAACCAAACTTTTTATTTCGTCCACAAAGGTAGATTGTTCTAGTTCCACATGCCATGCCTTTTCTGTTTCAGTTATTACCCTTTAGTAACTCAATTCTCCGGGTTTTTGTTCATCTCTGATGTGGCCAGGGATTGAACTCACAACTCTTTGGATCAAGTCACTCGATTACTTGAACCAATGCTTTTATCCACTGAGCCATGTGT